AGCCTTCCGTGGCGAACCTTGGGGTGTACAGCCGGGCCGTCCGTAGTCTGAACCCGTCATTCAGCTTGCAACAACTTCTGTCGAGCCTGACGCGCACCACTGTTGAGGACAAGAGTACTACAGCACCACCAATTCCCAGCAGGCGAGTCTTCCTTTCCTCCTACCCAACAAGGTTCAGACATGGTTTGTACCTCGGGATAATTCATGTGCCTCTGCGGAAAACGCAGGTCTGGGGTAGCATTCTGGCATATTCTGGCTCTATGAGCATCTGGGGCTCTCGCTGATGTTGCCGACCCAGCAAGGTGCACTGTTTGCAGGTGCATCCAGCTCGCCGGGCCTAGTACAGAGACAAAGGCAGAGCAAAGCGGTCAAGAATGCAGCTGCGACAAGCCTGGCCTCAAGCGTGACGAGCCTGGCATGCAGAACCCGGCGCTTTCCAAATCCATGCCAGCTATGTTTTGAAGCTTGGGTTTTGACCGATTCATTGACTACAGCAGGGAAGCAGCGTGGTCCTATGGCCTGGGGAATCATCACACGCAAACTCGTTTTCTGAAGCTCGGTCTGACAGCTCTAATGTAGATGTGCACGAGACGAAGAATTAGAAAGCTTGGCTGTATGTCGAAATCTGGAAAGGTGCCGGATTGCCGTGCTTGACACTGAAGTCTAGATGCCTTTCGACCTGTGGCACATGACCGAAATTCCTGCCTCTTCTTAGGTTGGACCGTTCGTGCCTGCAGCCACCGGCGTGGGCAGCTCTTCTTCGTCAGCTTCCCCATGCTCCTGCAACACCGCCGCCGCATCCCACCCTCCATCTACGCTTCTCCCGTAGCCAAGGCTTGCACTGGAAACCACCGGCTGAAATTTTTCGGTGTATTTCGCGGCGACGCCTGCTCTTCGCTGCTTTGATACTAGTCAAAACATTGGTTGGACCAGTGTCTCAGGGCCTCCCACAAAGAACCCGGAGAGCTGAAGTATGTTCGGGTCGAAGCCTTTCAGATTGGATCCATCGCGCCACCGTCCAAATTAAGAGCAACCCCTAGCTGCCCCAGTTACTGAGCAAAGCATTTGCTGGGACATCTGCTGGCAGCTCCAAATTCGCCTGAGCATGCAGCATGAACGACTTGTCAAGCAGAATGTTACGCAACATATCCTTGCCTCTGAGCTGCTGCCATGAGAATTTGTCCACAACCGCCTGGAGACTGGACAGGCTCACGAGGGTTTCAAGCCCCCAGGATGATGTGGGCCAGGCCGTGGCGAGAGGGTTCTGCCAGAGCAGACCTCTGAATTTGGCACACCACATCGCTGAGTTACTGTAATTACTTTAGCCAATGTGCAGGGGATGTTGTCCGACGAGCATGCCTGCCAGGGCTGAGACAGCCTTGGTGACGGCCGTTGTTGAGACGTTCTACGTAGATTCTACGTTCTACATCGTCTCATGAACTGCATTCCTTCTACAAGCTCCGGGCTGGTCTTTGTCGAGATCCTGCTGAAAAGCCTGCTGAACGGAGCACATGTTTGCATCACCGCGTTGCCTCCACGGTACAGTCACGCTAAGTGCGTGACGTGAGCTGGCCCATGGAGTCCTGCGAATAGAGCATCGAATTTCATGAACACTGGGGCCTCCAAAAGCAACCGTCACAGAGTGTCGTGCGCGCTATCAATGGCTAGAGAAGCGGAAGCTAGACCTAGGTCACTCACTACCTGAAACGAGCGTAGCAGGACCAGTTGCAGCCGAGTGAAGCAGCATCCCAAAACAAGAAACGCTGCTGAAGGAGGGCACAAGGCCTGCTTGTCATCTAGTCGCGGGTAAGCTGCAGGTTGATGGCGGGAAACAGCAGGGATGCTGTGAACACATCCTGCACAGCATGTGCAGACGACCGCGAGACAGCCGACCGGATCGCGACGGTCACCCTTCTTTCTTCCTTGTGCTGCACTGTCAGAGTCGCTGTCGCTGCCAGGCCCCGATCTCTGCACTATGCCTGGCACAGGCATCGGGGCATGCCGCGAGCAGCGATGTCGAATGGTGAAACTCATTCCATGAAGCCTGCAACATATTTACCTGTTCAATGTGTTTTGTTTTTCAACTGGCTTGTGGACTTGCTGTACATGGGTGCTTGCTGCATGGCATCGCGCTGCCCTTGCTCTCCTGTTGCTCGACTTCTCTTGTTTCTCAACATACCATTTCCGAAGGCTATGTGCCTTGATTTTCCCATGTCCATGTGCCACAGCGTAGCAGCATCAGGTGCAGGACTTCGACAGTGGCTTGTCCACCAGCGGACAATAGAATTGACGACATTGAGGGCTGAGAGATACCATGCAGGTCCGCCTGGCAGCAATTGTGAAGCCATCCAGCCGAGCCATGTATCACGCTCTGCCGTCTTCAAGAAGCATGTCTGCTTGCTGCAACAAGCTCAAGACCCTGTAGGTAGTGGCACGCAAGTGTTCAGTGCTTCTGGATGCGAAGAACCATCATGAAGCTTCTTGCAACCGTAAAGGATAACAAGCACTAACTAGTTGAGCCGTCACCGTCGGTTGAGCATATTATCTTATCAAGAGTCAAGTCGGTGCCAAACCAAACTTTGATTCTCTGGTCTGCACGTACCCAGAAGCCTCTTTACTCCGCTGCACTGCTCTGTGCATTGGTGCCAATGGCGGTTTGGAGGTGAAACAGCTGATCTGGGCCCGTCATGCTTTCATTTCAAAACCCCACCTCGAGATCGTGTCTCGTATCACCAAGTGTGTAAAGTATGGCCGCGTGCCTGCTGTCTCTATGACCTCCATGTTGGGAATCAAAGCTATCCTCGAAAGCGCCGGTGGTTGTGCAAAAGGGACGTTGTAAACTGCATGCTACACTTGCACTGACTCAAAGCTCTGGGTTTGAAGAAGCCGTGTTTCCAAAGGGAGCTTTCCACTTGAAGATCGCTCTTGGATTGTGCTCTTGGGACACCAGTTGGCGAACGGTTGGAGAGCCCCTGGGTGCTGTTTACATGGCCATACGCTCCACACTCTAGAAATTCTCTTGAAGGCACATGCGTGCCGTCGCAAATTTCTCTGCACCGATGTCGTCTGAGCAAACCACCAATCGCCGGAAGAGTTCGGCAGAAGGCCCATCCCAGCCATGTGGTACCTCGTGGAAGCATCTGTACACCGTCAATATTACGATTCGAGCACTTCTCTCAATCCCGTCTTCTTTTTTCGTTCTCACTCTGACAGCCATTTGCCTCACTCCATGCGGCGCACAAGAGGTATGCCAGAGACACGGAGCAGAGCGCCAGGTAGGCGAGCCACTGCGATCCATGTATCGATGCAACGTGCAGCTGAGCTTTGTCAGGATCTATCGAACTCTCTTGCGAATGTAAGCCTGCAATGTCGTGTCGATCGTCTTGAAATTTTGGAAGGCCGCATTGGCTTTGGTGAACTGCCCGACAATGGAGGTCAAGCAATACCTCACGGGCAAACTTCAACTGCTTGAAGTCACGTGCCTTGTCCGATGTCCGATTTTATAATGACGGCGGAAGTGCCCACAGCACAATCCGCACAACTTACAGCTTGATGGGGCCGCATGCTGGAAGGTGTTACCCAAGCAGCCACAGCGTACTGGGATGAAGCTGAAACCCTTCGCATCTCTTGGCGCATACATCTTCTCACTACACTCAGCCGGTCGATAACTCAAATCCAGCGAGTGTTGGGTTTGAGTCTCGCTCTGCACGAAGGCTGGCTTTCCAACTGCCTGACTGAAGTACCGATTTGTTGGCTGACTTGATACATCAAATTTTGGATTGCCCCGTGCCAAAGTCACTCCATATCGTCGGTTTGGACATGGCGCGTGCATTCTAAACCGACGGATGCCTTCCTGCCGACATTTGCAGTTTGCAGTGGTGGGACGGCAGTTGTGTCGTGTATGTGGTTTCCTACATTTCTGACACGAGGGTTGAATTGACCCACAGCTGGGTCCCGCGATGGTTACTGCCAGCTACACGGAACCATGCCCAAGCTTCCGACCCTAAGATCATCACTGTGAAGATTCCCGGGGACGACCTGGCACAAGCAGAAAACATCGCATGTGAAAAGCCGGAGCTTTGGCATGCTGAGGCTGACCCGCTCATCCAAAGCATGAAGAGGTTCATGCCTACCTCGAAGTGTGGTCCCAGCAGACAGTGTTTGCAGACAGCTGTTCACAAAAAAACCAAGCATCGAACAGATTGGATAGGTGCAACCGCCACTTCCCACGCCTTCTTTTCTAGAAGCTCCTCAGTCGATCAAACCAGCTCATCACCTGTCAGTGCTTGACGGTTGCAGCGCCTGATTTGCAGTCTTGGACTTGTTCTTTCCGGCAGCGTCCCCGCTGTTGTCCTTTCGAACGCGGCAACCACGAGATGTTGTGAAGGAAGCAGTCTTGAGACAAAATGTTCGTTCAAGATGTAAAGGTAGAGCAGCGAATGAGTGCTCCACCATAGTCAGCTTGTATCCGATTGGATCCTGGATGCCATCAACCTGGCAAGTCGTGTATTGGCTTTGTCGATGCGCCCAGAGACCCGCTGCTAGCATGGCTGCCGTGCCTTACCGGACCCAGCAGTGTCCAGACCGCTGAAGTCCCACTTGCTCCACGAAACCTGTCGGAGACACGCGTAGCCATGTGCTGTCCCAGCGTTGCCGCAGAATCGCCTCTGTCATCTGGCCGTCGGTCGGGCTCTAGCTTTTGAGCCGCCGCAGAATTTGGTCCAGGTCGGCCCGCACTATGTGGCACACAGCACAGTGCTGCAGTTGTCAACTTTTCCTGGCTTCCTTGCGACTTCATGATTATGTGATCGAGCTTGCATCATCTGGCAGGAAATTTAATGCGGGTACTGTGTTGGCGGATCAGCGTACACGCCGACTTCTGTAACAAAGATGCATTTCAGCTTGTGCCTAGTCGAACGAAACATCACTTGTGTTCAGATAAGACAGGGTGAGTGCGAGTGGTATATACAGCAGATGCATACATGTATGCATGTCAGGGCACAGATCGGCAGGTGCATAGACATATGCATGAACATGTAGGATATGTAGGCATCGATACACGTACACAACCAATTTCATCTTAAATATGCTCCATACACGTAGACATTCAAACACGCGATCGACCGCAGTCCCAAGACCCCCAGTCAATGTCTAGACCAATGACTGGAATCTTCGCTCCCATGCCCATTTCACTGTTCATATCATTCTGGCAATTTCGTTTGAGGCATCGTGCGCTTGGTAAGAATATGTCCGCCACTGCTGCTGGTTGGTTGTCAGTCTGAGACTCAGCTGCGATGCAGTTACATGTGTGCCAAGCACTCTCCTTAGCACTCCGTCATCCGAATCGCAAGTGAAGCCGAGAACTTGAGGTGCTTTGCCTGGGATGCGCCATATTGCTTGGTGCACCTTCGCCGCGTGCCCACCTCAACCGTTTCCCGCTGTTGCACGGTGCTCGACGAGATGTGTTCTTACAGTGTTCTTACGGAATGACTGCGCTCGTAGCGCGAGGCACATGTTCAAACTCCCTTCAGTTTGACAGGCAGGCAGTCGAAGATTCGCCGGTTCGTGATTCGGGCACTGCAGGAATGCTTGCTGGGTGTAGTAGCCGGAAATGGCACACTCTTGAACCGCTTTCTGGGGAAGCCAGACGGCTTCCACGATGCATAAACGCGGAAGTATGAGTCCTGTGCGATGGGACGGTCTTATGTAGAGATTTGCAAAATACTCGTTACACCATCCCTGTTTTCCCCTCATTTCTTGATGCTCGTGTTGAGCTTGCGCTCTGTGGGCTCTGATGGTCTTGCAGGCCAGTCAGGTTTGTCGAGATAGAAAAGCCTGTTGAGTTAGCCAACCTCATGGCCCCAAAACGCTTCAGCCGTCTTGTCTGCTTGTTACAGTTGTCGATTAACTTTGCAACATTCGGAACTGGCTGGCGAGTGGCTCAGAGAGCTTGAAAGACGTGGAATGCCCACTCTCTGACCCACTGACATCTCATGTAGCTGTTCATGATGCAGTTCCTGGTACAAGCAGTAAAAGCAGGAAAACCATCGAGCAGACCAAAGTCCGAAACTCAAGTGAATGTGCTTTTTCCATGTCGTCAGTCACATTAATAAAGACTCAATTAGGGTTTAGCTATTCCCGTTCAATACGCTTGTTCTTCGCACGTATCGGCTGTCTCAAGACACCTGACTCCAAGTCGCAGTCGTCCAAACCGTGAAGGCACGTTTTGACCATGGGCTCATGGCCCCCGTGACATACATCTGTTTCCCGACTGCATGTCGCCGCCTCGCTGCTGTGCGTTTCCGCGGTGATAGCCACTTTCCAGTTAAGACGAGCAAACAGCACAAACTGCAAGGCTGCAAGATCTCTTCTGACAGAGATACAAACTACCAAAACCTGAATCAAGCGGAACAGCAGCAAACAATCTGACTCAACGCCTGAACGATGGGCTTCATTTATTCGAGGGCACAGTATGCAAAATGGGGGGGGGCGCATACGTAGATGTACATAAACAAATAAACAAATAAACAAACATACATACATACATACGTACGTACGTACGTACGTACGTACGTACGTACATACATACATACATACATACACGCATAATGACATACACACATAGATACATACATACGTACATACATACGTACATACATAGATAGATAGGACGGGCGGACGGAAAGACACGCAGAAGACAGACACAAATTTGGTGACGGCGCCTGTACGGGGCCGTGCGTTTGGAGACATTTTTTTGTCAATGCAAGACGCCCGAGTGGCCAAAACTCCAGCGAAAAGCGCGTGTTGTATAGGTCATGCACGTTTGCAGGTCCTGACAACACTAGACGCTCCCGCAAAGTTTTCGTGAAAATGCATTTTTACGAGGCGTTTTGTCGATTTTTGAGTGTTTTTTGGTCGGGGGGTCTTGAAAATTCAAAGTTTCAAGATCTTGTTTGCTTGAAAATCGTGCTCTCGCCACAGCGCGGCTGTGTTTTGCACTGTAAGCGTTTTGCGTTTTGGGAGGCTTTTTTTCCGCAGAGTGCTTTTGGCAAGGATAGCTTGTTCTTGAAAAGCTGTAAAATCGTGCTCTGGCCACAGCAGGGGGGGCGTTTCACACCTTTTGTGGGGGGCCAGAGTCATGTTGCAGGTTTGCGTTGCTTAGAGCCCGGTGGCGTTGTACAGAAGGCAAGGCCTTGAAGCTTCTAGGCAAATCCTTCACACTACTATGACAGCGAAAGGATGGTGACTGCCTTGAGGCCTAACAGTAGGACCGTTTAGTATTGAGTACAGTTCTAGGATTCAAGTACTGTTCGGAAAAAGCCCGTAGTCGCAGGAGCTCGCTTGTCTG